CCTTCATTCTCAAATATCTCGACTTGTATTTAAGATAAACGGATATTTTTTCATCCAAATAAAGACAAGTGAACAAGCTTTAAGATGATACCAATAACTCGATGTGCTCAAAAATTGACGAGAGCCTGATTCCACCACGATGCCTCACAAATGTCCCTCTAGCATTAATTTTTATCTGTTGACAGATAATTGAAAAGATTTGCTGCCGTAATGTAACTGTATTATCCTGAATTAACCTGATCTGAGGCCAGCAGTGAATTTACTGTTTCTCAGATTGTTTTTTGTGGATGGGTTTGTGTGATTGTAGGCTTTTTTTTCTGCTTCTGTGTCTATGTTATATTCTGTCAGGTTGTCTTCTCTTTATTTAACTCATTGATTCCGGATTGCCACTTATATGGCAATTTTGGTATTGCATTTAACTGATTGCTTCTTAACTGGCGTTTTGGGGTAATTATTTCATAAACCCCTGGTCCTGTGTTATATTTATACTACTTATTTTCACCCATATTGTGGTTCCTTTTTTAATTACAAATGGTTTAAATACTCAAACCAACAAATCTATCAATGATTACTGAATTATACACTCTTCACCACCTAAATTTGGGTATGTAAAATTGTGAAATCCCTTACATACTGAAAGAGTTGAAGTATTGTTAGTTTGATTGAAAATCCTATCCTTTCTGTTTTGATTAAGTTATTTTGAAAGTTAAGTTTTTGATCGAGGAGAGATGCAATAAATTTGATTGTAAACCCGTAACTTTTTCTCTCTCGTCATATTTGTAACCATCTACCTCACAGTAGTATTTTTAAAGTTGGTTGCTCTTGGAAAGTAAAGATCAGTAACCTTAAGCAAGTAATTGCTTTTAGAACTTTGTAATTCAGGACTTGCTTCATAAATGTGTAGCTAGTCTTTCCCTGCATTTGCCTGGCTTATAGGATAGATCAGACCAACATGTTTTTTTGAGGTAGCATTTATTTGTGAGGTGTGCTGACAAAATGAGTTACTTCTCCGATTTTAGCCTTATAAATGGAAATTGATACATCAACTTTATAGATGGAGTTAGTACAATTTGTAAGTAGGCAAGAATAAAAGACATGGTTGACTTGAACAAAATGGTATCAATTAGAAATCTATAAATCTGACCGCAGTGTCGATTTTCGGCCGATATGTCCATTCTTGGACAGCGAGAAGTAACTCATTTTGTCAGCACACCTCACATTTGTTTTACAAATTCTGAAATATTTTTCATAAGATTTGTGATGTAGTGGAGTGATTCATGTCATAAAAATAGTTTGATAAGGAAGTAAAACACAAATAAATTTCTTTGTTTTCATTGCTACGGTATATTTGTGCGTTGAAAACTATCACCGTGTCTGTTGTTGAAGCTCTTTTAAAACCCAAGTTTTTTTGTCTCTCGCTCATTTTAGTATCAGAGACTGAAGTAGTCCATGGACTAAAAGACTTAAATGCGGACAGAATACTTTGGTTCCGACGAGTCATCACTGACATCGGTCAAGTTGATGCGGCTAAGGAAAAAGATATTCTCAGGAGGTACAAAGGTGAGATTAGTGTTCATTTTTATTCTTTTGTCAGAATGTTGTGTTTATTCACATGTTTATCCTTTTTTAGATTATTGTGCTTATATTGATATGGTTATTCTTTTTTTCAGAATTTTGTATTTATTCGCACAATAATTCTTTTTGCTATCTCAACCATTCCAATGCTTAGTTTGTTTGTATTTTAGAAGTTTTGCAAAATTTATTTTTTTTTTTCAAACCTATGTTAGGTTGCAGTCATGCTGCATGTGATGAGTTGTATCATTAGGAATTGTAAATGATGCTGTCTCTTAAGGTCTGTATATCATAGCAGATCTGTACAGGTCAACTAGTGGGTGGTTGGAGGGTGTCACGCGCATGGTAGGTCCAACTTCTTTCTCTCTCTGTCTTGTTTCTGTTTGTCTATTTTTACTCCCTTTCCTAAAGAGCTGGTATTGTGTTAATATGTATCCCCTTGTTCAAACAAAGAAACTATCAATAAAGATTTTGTCTCTTTGAAAGAATGTGACAGCTGACAAGACAGTTCACTCTACTAGGAGCTATAGTTTTTCCTACTCCTGGCTAAGTGATAACAAAGTCATAACTGATGTCGCCTGCTTTGAAACTTTGTATCGTACAGGAGATGCCTGAACTGTGTACAGAATTCCTTTTGTAATTTTTTTTTTTTTTCAATTCCAGACTTTAGGAATTGTATGACATATTAATAGATGAATGCATAGATCTAGGAATGTATTTTGAAAAAAAAAGGTCAACTTTGTTACTTTTCCTTTATGGAAAAAATGAATTTATAATTTTTTTTTTAGCCATTTGTGACGGAAAAAGAAAGGCTCATTTTTGTTTTAATTCAGTGGGTGAAATGTTCTGTCTTTCACAGCCACTAATAAATAAAATTAGATAAAATTTCTCAGGTGAGTTTTAAAATAGTGTTGCTCATAAATATTTGAACAGCTATTTTGCTTGTTACTTTTGGTTTTTGTTGAATCTGTAATGCGTTAAATTTTATTTCGGCCAGTGTGCAATTTTCTCTTGAATAATTGCAAAATTCCTTTTTATAGATGTTCCTCGTGCAGGTAATGTAGTTTACATCGAAGTTGAGTGGAGTGAGGGATGTTCGTTTCATGTAGTGATATTAAAAACTTTACACATTTTGTAGAAAAAAAATTGCACCAGTGGTTACTTTTTTTTGTCCTAATTGAAAGGGAAGAATGCCACCGGAATAGTTTTTTCCTCTAGATAAGAAATCAATTATTATATATTTTGATGGAGTGATTAAAGTTTGAGCCATATTAACCCACCCTCACATTATCACACAAAATTTATTTTTGCGTCTGAAAGCTGCGTTATTTTCAAACCATACAAGTTTCTTTAAAAAGTGTATAAATATGGCCATATTATTATTTATACCCATGTGAATAAAGATTAACTGCTTTAGAGAGAATATAAGCTGAAATTTAAACCAGGCAACAGGGCCACAGTTACTTTTTCATACTCTTCAGCTAATGGAGTTACCTTACTTAAGCGGCTATTTTCTCGCTAATTTCGCCACTGAAACAAGGCGACCTCATTTTCTTCGATCGCAACTATTTTGAATTCTATTCAAGATATATTGATATATTTATTTCATTGGAAGCAAGGCAAATAAATCAGCTTTCACATGATACCAATAAATCCACGTACCCAAAACTTGATGAGCACCTGATTCCTCTGCATCATGACACATTTGGTTATAGTTTTATTGAAAAAGTATAATAGAGATGAGAGATTCATTCCTCTTTCTTGTATTTGTTGAGCTGATATCCTGAGGGATCTATATTGGTTTTAAAAAAAATTCTAGTTTGAAAAAATGTCTGCTTGTGTGGTGTGTAATAGAAATTTGAGTTTTTGTTTTTAACAAACACTTCTATTATATTTCTGATTTTTGCACAATCTTTTTTTTTGGTACTTGTTAACCACACTCATCTCTAGTACTGATGTGGAACAAAGCTAGAAGGGTGGGATGTTTTAGCTTCTTTGAAATGACTTTCTCAAAGCCTTCTTAAGGATTAAATCAAATTTTCAGCAAAAAGATGCTTAAGTCGTTAAAAATAAAGAATGAATAATGTCGATATTCTGCTGTCTTTTTTCCTAGCCGTGCTTGATTGACTGTTTTTTTTTCCTTGTTAGTTTGATAACATTGATTGATCTTAATGATGTTTGATGTTCGCCTGATATGACCATAGAAATGAAATATTGATTAAAGGAATAAGAGTTATGTTATCAATAACTTTAGCATCAAGGAATTAAATAAGTGTTTGGAGGGAAGAAAATGCAGATGCCAGTGTAAGTGAAGGTGTAAGTGTTTGGGTTTAACGCTCCTATTAACAGCTACTGTTTTGTTATTTAAGAGGCGGATCCTTCGAATTTGACATCCGTCTCCAATAGGATTGAGCCAAATGTGATGAAGGCCTTGAGAACTAAACAAAATGACCCAAGTTCAAGAACTCCCAGTCTGGGATTCAAACAAGGGCATGATAGAACTTAGCAAACAGAGGGCCCAATGTCAGTATGAAGATACCGGGACTAATAATCGATGCACTAGAAATCATGGTCATATAAAACTTACCCTCAGTGGGCCTTGGCAGTAGGGTTCATTTTGTAAATCATGTTGTTGCTGATTTTTCCTTGAAAGATATTTGGATTCTGTAAATGTATGGATGATTTATCCGTTGGTTTATCATTGTGTTTGGGAGGGGTCGGGGGCTGTTTACTTTGGCAGTATGGGAACTGAGTTCTGTAGTGATAAATCATTTGTATTTTAAGATTTTAAAATGTAGAGCTATGGCTCACAAAAGAGTGGTCGTATAAAAAAAATGTAAACAGACATTAGGATTGTGATATTATCGTCGTTAATTTCCCTCAAAATGGATGTTCATATGATTATTCTATTCTCTCTTCTTCCCCATTCTTCTGCCCCTGGCATAAAGGAAAGTTGAAAGTTATACAGAATCTGGTTTTGAAAAATAAGTTTTTATAAAATGAAAATAATATTGCCCTAGTACTAACAAAGATATCGGGGGCTCTTGTGGCCTAGGGTTTAAGGTGTTCACCTCTCATTCAAAGGTCCGGGGTTCGAATCCGTTAGCGACAAAAATTTTCTTCTCTAAAATTATCTCCTTTCACCTCTTTCCCTGCTCTCTAGCAATGTTCTGTCATCTGCTTTCGTCTCCACTTTCTATCCCCACCCCCACACCTCCTTTGCCCCCTCTGGGCTCCTGACTCTTTCTGCAGCCTAATTTCTACTGCTACTCCTTGGCTCCTTCTTACTGTTGTCTTTCAGCCACACCACTGATCTTCTGGTTGGAAAGACGTACACCTAACCTTCTCGGACAAGGGCAAAAAACCTCGGAGGTTCCTTGTGCAAGTTGCGTGCTTTAAAGATCCCTAGGTGGTCTAAAATCGATAAGAGTAGGCTTCGGCCGTCACCCAGGCAAAATTCAAAATTTCCAACCAGCAGGCTCATATGACCTTTCGCAGTTGCAAGCACCGTAAAACACTTCCCAACCCCCCAACTTGAAAATTATAGAGAAGCAGCAGTTCTAATTCTATTCTCTGTTTGAGCAAATAAAGCGGTGGTTGTATGGCGCCTCTGGTAGATCCTAATACTTATTTCCTTTCCCTCTGTTGTTTTGTCTGTCTGCTTTGCTTCTTCCTTGTACTATACGGCCGTTATTGTGTCGATGAGCTTCTCTTTACTCAAACTCAACCTGAAAAACTTTGCAAATAAATTATGCTTTCTATGTAAAAATCTCTCAGATTTATTGGACGATACAGAGAAGAACAAGGAGTCTTCCGAATTGCTGCAGAATTTGGAGGAGAACATCATGAAGACTGCTGTGCCACAGTCCAATTTGTTTCAGTACAACGTCAAGTGGGAGCCGAATAAAGGTGACTGTTTGCTTCTTTTTTGTTGTTGTTGTATTATTAGTAAGAGTTTTATGGTGACCGTTCGCATCTTTTTTTTGCGATTTTGTTGTTGTAGGGTTTTTTGTTTGTTTTAGTAAGAGTTTTATGGTACTTGTAATGCAGTGTATTTAGGTTAGTGTTAGTAAGAGTTTTACAGCACTTGCAACACAATAGGGCCATGCAAATGCTGAAAATTAGGGTGTTACAAGAGAGTGACAAACGCACAAAGGAAGTGTTTGCTTTTTCAATTTTTTCTTATTTGAAAAAAAAATGAGCTGGGCTTATGTAATGGTTTTCTTCCATCCTTTTATAACATCCTCTAAAATGAGCTGAGACTGGTATCGGACACAAGCACGACAGCTTGTTCTTTAAAAAAGCTTTAACAATAAATGACCATAGGACAAAGTGTTCAGGTTTGTTACTTTCATTATCAGAACTTCAGTAACACTACACTCAAGTTGGTATCTTCCATTTAAAGAAAACAAGCTAACAAATATTGAGAAAAACGCGGGTCTTTATAAGTGAAAGCTGTACCTTATTGACAAGGAACCAGTAGAATGACCTTGGTGTTGTCCAGTGAAGTTATAGTGCCTGTGTACATCATTTATAGTGTATAGACAGGCATCCTTCTGACTGAAGAGGCCCATGATGTTTAATAACTTCCTTTGTCTTCTTGTTTGTTCTAATAATTTGCCATCTTTGTCTGAACTTGTACTTCTCTGTAATTCTTCCTTATGGCGAAGAGAAAGAAATCCACACTCTCTTTGATGCCATTTTATTCTTCTTAATGGTCTATGCTTGTTCTGCTGTTAGGAATTGACCCCCAGACAAATGCCAGCCACCAAGAGTACCTCACAAAGCTCTGCAAGAATGCTGAGACCCACATGATGTCTCTGCTCAAAAAAGCCTTCTCCAGTAGAGACAACGTGGCAGCACGCAACACTCTGTTCTATGAGGTCCTACAGCACACTGTTTTTCTAAAAGAAAAGTGCGCATCTTTCTACGGACGAGAGGCTCCTCTTAAGGTAAAGTGTCAGACAAAAAGGTCATATGTGTCATGATATGGTGGAATTAGATGCTTGTCAATTGTTGGGCATATGGAGTTATTCGTATAAGCTCAATGCTTGTTCTTTTTTTTTTTTGCTTTTGATGAAAATAATACTCGTTGATCTTGAATAGAAGTCGAGATGTTTGCGAATGAAGAAGGTAGTGGTTACCTGGTGTCAGAGGTAAAATTAGTGAGATAGTGGCAGTCAAAGTTTGGTGACTTCCAATACTTACGTGTCCTTAGAAACTGCAAATTTACATTGTTTTGTGCCTTTGATCAACATTTTTTCCTAAAATGTCCTCACGGAAATGTGTTTTTAAATGGATGTAAAAAATGTTTACATTGAAGATGTTTTCTCTTTCGAACAGTAATTTTACAGAGTGCTCTTTTTTTAACAGCGACCAGCTAGTTTTGCCTAGTTACCAATTATTTGATGTCTCATGCCGTTTTTGGTTTGTGTGTTTCTTTAGAAAATTGAAGAGTACTTTCGGGGCCCATCAACAGCACCTTTTGTCGTCCATGGACAGTCTGGCTGTGGCAAAACATCGATTGTTGCCATGGCAGGAAAACTGGCTCAGACAGTTTTTGAAGGGAAGGCGCTGCTTATGATCAGGTAAATATGCTGCTATGGGCTGCTGTGTAACGATTCTCCTGAAACCTTGGTACTACATTCCTTCTTTAGCTCCTAGTTTTTGTAGAGTTTTATGGATTGTGAAGCACAATAAGATCATATAAGTTTCAAAGATTAGAGGTGTTATTGGAAAGTAACAAACACAGAAAACAGAAAAGAAGGAGCCAAGGTCAGAATGATAAATGTTTGATAGGGAAAAAAAAGAAGGAGCTAATCACTCCAGAGCCCCTGCCGACCACCTGCACTCCTTCTTTGGCACCACATATATGTCCTTAGCATTTTTTCTTTCAAATAATAGTCTTTACTTGTGAAACTCAGACTTTGCAAAGACTGCCTGGAACTGTTCTCTTGAGGTTAATGAAGTTGTTGTGTATACAATTTCACATAGAAACAGAGGAGTACCACCAGCTTTTTTTCCCTTTTGAAATTCTGAAAGAAGAGTTCAACTCTTTCAATGTGTCCATCTATTGTTGAGGATAGAAGTGACTTTCTTTAGACAGGTGATTATCTGAGGCGGTGTTATTATAATGTAAAAAAGGCACAAGAGAGGAAATAGGAAGTAAACATGTGTACGGGGGATTGTCTTATACTGATGGCCGTTACACGGCTCTTCAACTCACCCGGAAACCGTTCCTTTAGCTGCTCCGTGCCAGCGGTCACTGCCACCCATGTGTTTGTCGTTAAATCAGCGGTCAGCCGTGGTCACTGCCATGACGCCAGCGTCGTGCCCCCGCCTGCCTGTGTAACGCAATTCCTCCAAATTATGGCGTCTTTCCCACCCCGATATCTCCAGATCTAAAGATGTGATATCACTACATGATCCCACATTTTAAAGCTCAGCTTTCCTTCTGCAAGGTGATATAATTTTGGTCAATCTCCATTCACAGTCTTGATTTTATTTAAATACTTTCTCAAAGACGTGTTTCTACCAAATCTGATTCCATTTTCAGTGTTGTTTAAATCTTAACGTAAATAACTTCGAAAACTGACCAACGGTTTGGATTTTTAAAAAAATCTAATTAGGATAGGTATACTGTACTAATTGTGCAAGTTTCAAGTTTGTGGTGTATTTTTTAAAATGACATTGACGTTCTCCTAGACATGTTTCTACCGAATCGGATTCCATTTCAGTGTTGTTTGAATTTAAACGTGAATAACTTCGCGAACTGACCTACAATTTCAATTCTTTACAAATCTAGTTAGGACAGGTATACTGTACGGTTGTAAGTGCTGACGCCCTGACGTGTGATGCCCGCGGTCCTAGAGTGGTATGTTTTAATAGAGAGTTGTCACATTTGATGGCTGGACTAGGGAAACCGAAACCAGATTGTGAAAAGCTGTGAATTTCCACTCAAAACTCAATATGTTTGCTTTTGGGAACAACACAAAGATGAAACAAAGTGAGTTTGAAACTTTATTCAATTTCTGACCCAATATCTTAACATTGTCAACACCGACCGCAACTATTATGCTTAAATTTAGTTAAATAAATCGTGACCCTCTATCAATGTTTAATCCTGAATCCACTTCTCTTTCTTCGTCACCTCGTAATTCTTTATCTTAATTAGTTGCATAATTGCTCTAAGAAATATGTCAGATGATGCTTATTCAAAGAATTCGGTTTAATGCACTATAGGTGTTGTGGTTTGGACTTAATCGCAGGTTGAACAAAGCTTAAAATTGCTGCAATAACATTTTCATTGGGAATCTGTCAGTCAGGTAAAATTCCCCGCGCTGACCTCTTGACCTGTTGGTTATGGCTGGTTCGAGTTACGCTGAGCGTCGGGACGCTGCGGAGTGCCGGTAGTACTAAAGCACTGCCCTTGAACAGCCATGGTTAGAGCAAGTTCAAGTATTTTGCTAGAGTGGTGAAACTCCTATGAAAAACTAAAACTAATTCATTGCCTAATGTACTTATCATTTCAGTAGTGTCTGTGATTTATAAAAGGAGTTGCTGAATGGAGGTTGATTGTTCAATGACGGCCCTTTTGAATTTTATTTTGACATGGTCTCTACAGGTTTATTGGCACCACAGCTGACAGTACCAGCCTCCTGGCTTTGTTGAAAAGTGTGACAAAACAGATGATGACAGCCGCAAAACTGCAGCAGAAGGATTTGTCGTCCTTGGTAAATTACATAATAGACCATTCACATGTCGTTACCCCAGAATTACTAAGTTCTATCTGCGCAGTACATAGTTTTGAGAATTTTGACCAAAAAAATGTCGAGCTTCACTACATGTCATGCTTTTTGGGATACAATTCTTTGAATATCTTGATAGCGTCTCCAAATAATCTTATTATTTTGATAGAGCAGATAGAACATTTGGTTTCCAACTTCATGGTCCTAGTAACTCTGAACGGCCAAAAATATCAGGTAGAGCTTTGTAATTCTATGGTAGCGACGTATCACGACACGGTGGAATCAGTTGCATGTCAAGGCATGTAGAGTTATTGGTATCATCTGAAAGCTTATTCATTGGCCTTGCTTTCTATGAAAAAAATACCCATCTATCTTGAAGAGAAGTCATGGTATTTGCTATTGTAGAAGGAGGGGTCGCCTGGTTTCTCTTGTAAAATTAGCAAGAAAATGGCCTCAAAGTTTGGTAGCTTTAATAGCTTGAGCGTCCTTGAAAACTGAAAAAAATTATATATTTTGTGCCTTTGATGTTTATCAGTAAAATTCACATGGAAATGTGTTTTTATATGAACACAAAAGTTGCTAAGCCAAAAAGACAAACATTTGATAAAAATTAACAAACTTACTGGAAAATGTGTGTTTCTTCAATTTCATTGATTTGACAAGTGCCTGATTTAAGAGGATACCTCACATATGTATGCTGAAGCGGTTAGGCTCTTCACTGTCTCACACAAGAGACCTGAGCAAGGAGAAAAATGTTATTGAGTGTCTTAATCTTTCTGCTAGTATGTTGTATCCCTGTCAGCTCGGGTTGGTCCTGACTGTCAGATTTGGATTCCCACTTCCTAAATGATCTAGGCATCAGTGGCCTAGTGGTTAGGCTCTTGGACTCGCAACCGTAAGGTCGAGGGTTCGAATCCCGTCAGGGGCCTGACGTTGTGTCCTTAGGAAAGGCACTTTACATACATTTTCCTCACTTCACTCAGGTGGAAATGGGTACCCGGCTATAGACAGTGAACGATCTTGTCAGTTTGATAGCGTTTGAGCGCGTGAAATCCGCAGCTTGCACTGTATGCTTCCTCGGAAGCTGAGAATGTTTCTGAGTGTTCTCAGAGGGTCTGCTGGGGTAATAATAATTGTAAAGCGCATAGAGCATGCTCTTGAGCCTGGATATGCGCTATATAAATGCAATTATTATTATTATTATCTAAATTCGGTTGATGGGGGTGTAAAAACAGCTACATTAGGAAAACAGAAAAATTTGTAAGAATTTTAGTGTGTGGAAATACAACAGATGCTTACAATTAAGAATTTTGATAATATGGGAATGTAACAGATACATACAATTAAGAATTTTGATACATTCTATTCTGCGGATTTGTGCTGATCAGTAGTTGTATTGCGAAACAGTGTTAATTTACAAGTTGGACTGCTTTTGAGCAACATTGTCCATTGTTAATTGAATTGCTTGTTGTAACATGTTTTCTGTTGGGTTTTTTTTCCTTACAGACATTGAAGCAACTGATGCTTCACTTCCATGCTACAATGATGAGAGTGGGAAAACAATGTCCACTGGTCATCCTCTTGGATTCCCTGGATCAGTTTGACCCATCCTACCAGGCTCGCCAGATGCTCTGGCTACCGGTCAAACTCCCAGCCAATGTTAAGGTCATTGTGTCCACTCTGCCAGAGCCTCAGTACCAGGCTCTTCCAGCTCTTAAGGTCAGTGGGAAAGGACAACCACATATGAGGATACAAAGACAGAAAAGACCGTTGTGAAATCAGGCGCTCGTCAAAATAATGAAATTGGAGAAAAAGGCATTTTTCAAAGAGTTTGGCACTTTTTATTGAAATTTTGTTTTTTGGCTAAACACCTTTTAACTTTTTAAAAATGAAAACACATTTCCAAGTGAATTTTACTGAAAACCCTTGTTTAAAGGCACAAAATATGTAATGTTCAGTTTTCAAGGACTCTTAAGCTATTGAAGTTTCCTAACTTTGGTGGCCATTTTCTCATTAATTTAACCACTGAAACCAGGCTACCCCACCTTCTTCAATCGCAAATATCTCGACTTCTATTCAAGCTAGTTTGATATTTTTTTCATTGAAAACAAGACAAATGAATAAGCTTTCAGGTGATATCAATAACTCCACATGCCCAAAAATTGACGAGTGCCTGATTCCACCACATCGTGCCACATATGGTCACTGTAGCAAGCAATCCTCTTAATTCCGATTGTCTACCTTTTATACCAGAGACAAAAAAACAAACTAGTTTTTGTTGTGTTGTCCTTATTAGGATTCTTAAAAAGCAAGAACATTGTAAGCCTTGAGCATAACATTAAACAGCATTTTGGGGATGCTGAAAAGTGCATCTTTGATATAGCTTTGGGCGTTTTTAAAAATTGAAAATTCTCAAAATTTAGACATAAGAGGATTGCTTGCAACAGTAATGATATGTGCTCCTCGTCATAAATTTGTCTAAGAGTGGCATGATGCACAAAACTGTGTAAAAATTGTACAAAGTGTGTTTTGCACTCTAAGTAAACAATGAATGGAGAAACTCATACACATAAATACACCTTTGCTGGTTGTCAATGCAGTGCCTTGTTTTCCATATATGTGTCTTCAAAGAAACATCCCTGCTATTATCCACCTGAAAGCTGTTATCATGTTTTTTAAAATCTCTTGACTCAGCTTGACAATATTGTGTGGACATGTTCTATAGCCTTTCTGTTGCTGAAACTGAAGGCTTTACTGAGGACACTCTGTCTTGGTGCACTTTAAATAGACACAACGAAGTTTCGTTATTCACACAAATTTTTCAATTTTCTTTTTGTTAATCTGAAATATAGAAATGCAGGCAACAACATGCATACTATGATATATACCGATTAGTGTTTTTGATTTGTCTATAATGGTTTGAAATGTGCTGCAACTTTACCTTTAGTCTGCTGCTGATCAGGCATGTGTGTCCTTAACATCCTCAAAAAGTTAAAGGATTACTTCTGTTCACCACTGAAGTTCAAGTCATTTTTTTGGATGAGTTTGTGCTGAAAGGGACATAGTTTGTGAGTTTAGGGTATGAGGATCAGCTCTCAAGGACCAGTTCCAGTTTCATGCTTACATAAAAGGTAAATTACTTTCAATTTTCTGGTGTTTTTTTTAAAACTTGGATCTGCAGACAAGGAGGGTCCATTGTCTTGTCTCACTGAATAAGCCCTCTACCACACTACGACATTCTTGTCTCGGACAGGTAGATTTTTTGCGTGTCAAAACAGATACCGCACTAGGACAGGACTGATCTGGCGCCATAAGGTGGCTTCTTTGTTGTTGCCCAAGGCGGAGTTAAAAATGCATTCCAAAAATTTCTGAAATATTGTCCAAATAAAAAAATAATAAGATTTTCGTGATCAGCAGCCCAAAATTAGCAAAAATCATATGAAGAACGCAATTTAATGCCTGATTACTTATTTGTGCATGTGTCTTTCACTATTCAGCCCATGCTAGGCCTAGATCTAGATTGCATTTTGTCTTTTATGTCTCGACTGCAATAGCCAACATCAGCCTTGTTGTACAAACATGGTTTACTTTCCTCTGCACAAATAAAGTTCTCTATCCAATTTGGATCAACGTCCATTTTGATGAGAATAGACTGTTTAGAAACAACCAAGTGGATCGAGATGCACAACACAATCATATGGGCCTACTGCACCGTGTTGTGTGTAGAAGCTTTGACTTTCTTGCAGATGTGCAACGCACTGGGTGACCTTGGTACACAACTTCACCATTGACGATCAATTAAGAAATAAAATAATTTGCTGAAATTTACATAGTATCACATCAAATCAGGTTCCCCACAAGCCATTTTGTTTATTTTGAGACGGTGATTCCGAAAATGAAATCAGTTTTGAGATGTGACAATTATTTAAGCAATTTTGTGCCTCAATTAGTTTAATCCAGCGCGGCGTCAAATTTTAAAGTGATTATACGTCACAACGCGCAAGCGCCACGATCTTGACAGCAGGCACCATCAAGTCTGGGACAGTTTTGTCCTAAGGCGGTAGGCGGCTATATATCTCTATATTTACAGATGATATTACCCCGGGACTGAGATAGTCCTGTCCCTCCGATTTTGTAGCAATTCCCTACTGCTCGGGACTCAAATCGACAAGAATGTCCCATCCCAGTAGGTGCGGTACATTACACTCTAAAGCAAAGGTTTTAAACTCCAGACGAGTCTGCCCCAGGATGAACTGTCGTAGTGCGGTAGAGGCCTAAGGGTTAAAAACTAGGAATTCCTTCGAATTCTTTGAGAGAGTTAAACCTTTCAGTGACCTTGGTGGTTATATTTTGCAAGTAGTTCTCTGTATCGTAAAAAAACTTGAAAGTACACAGCATGGGAACTCTCCTTTCATGTGTTGTCCTCAGAGCCAGCTAGCAGACTTTCCTCAGAACTTCCTAGATGTATCTCAGTTGGAAGACTGTGACATTTATGGAATCTTGGACAAATGGCTTGAAGCAGCTGGTAAGACATTTGAAGTGTTGAGCACATTGATAGCTATTTACTATAGTAGATGATAAGTCACCAGAGGAGATCGAAAAAGATAAAGGAGGGTTGATATTTTTACTGAATGGAAAATAAGCAAACTGTGTGCGTGTGTGTGTGTGTGTGTGTGTGTGTGTGTGTGTGTGTGTGTGTGTACGCATATGTATGTGTGTGTGTATGTGTGTGTATGCCCACATATGTGTGTGTGTATGTGTGTACATGTGTATGTGTGTGCTTTTTCTATGTAAAAATACATACTTTAGGTCAGAGTAAGATATTTTCTGTAAAAGAACATGATTTGATTAGTTTTTTTGTAAGTTTCACACAATGAGGAGTAGGTACTATACAGACACTTTCGTTTTCTTGTTCTTGTTATGATAATTATTTTTGCTATTAATATTATTGTTGTAATTATTGCTGCAGTTTTTAAAAATAATATTATTGTTTTGCCATGTAGGACGACAGCTGACCCAGTTCCAGAGGAACCTTGTACTTACGGCCTTTACTGACTGCCCCTTGCCGTTGTTTCTGAAACTGTTGTTTGATGAGGTATGCACGTTTTGGGGCTTATATTCTTTCAAAATGGGAAAGTCTTGGGCGGATTTGGGGAGGAGTGGTTGGGTGGAGTTTTGTTCTCCCTAATAGTGTGTGGCACAGTGGTTTAATCAGGTGGTCGTCGTCAAAATCATGAAATTGAAGAAACCAGAATGTTTCTGCTTACAGGGCAATTTTTCTTAATTTTTTTGGCTCAACAGCTGTTATGTCCACTTAAAAATACATTTTTGTATGGAATTTTATTTTAAAAAACCCTTGTGGCACAAAAAAGTTAAATTGGCAATTTCTAAGACCACTCAAGTTTGGGAAGTCCGTAAACTTTGATGACCATTTGCTCATTAATTTTATCTCTGACACAAGGTGACCCCCACCTCTTGCTAAGTACTTCTACTTTTATTCAAAACAAATGGACATATTGTTCATTTTTTTCTTTAAAAGCAAGATAAATGAACATCCTTTGATACCAATAACTCTATATGCCCAACAATTGACAAGGGCCTGATTTCACCACTTCATTGCACATTAACAAGCACTAAGCTCGTGCGTGATTTTTCTCTTTCCAGGCTTGTAAGTGGAAGTCCTACAGCCCCAGAGAGCAGATGCTAGTGCAGGGCACAGTGCGAGGATGCATCAACTGTCTGTTCTCTAGGATGGAGAGGGACCATGGGAAAATCTTTGTCTCTAAAGCCCTTGGCTACCTCACTGTCAGTGAGTTCACCTAGGTTTCTTTGGAAATAAATATTTCAGCTGCAGACTTGCCAACTGTTCAGAGTTTCCTGGGACTATGACCGATTGAGTAGTCTAGGATTTGAGAGCCTTTTTTCTTGATACACTGTACACTGAAACAAGTCCCACTTTCTGTAATTTTGTTGATTGTTATGTAATCCAATGTTATAAACGTTGAATGTCCCTCATTGGGCACTGGAAAAGTTGGCAAGCCTGCTACTGTATCATGTCCTGTGACAATATATTTGACTGTACTAGTGTCTTATAAATCTGCCAGATGCTTTGCCGTCATATGCACAAAACATGAGTTCTCTTCCGGTTTGGGTAGACTTTTTTATAATGTATTTTTGTCTTGTCGGGTGGGATGTTGTAACCCTCCCAGCCTGCGTTGGCCCTGACAGACAGGGTCAAAGCAGCCTGGCTCCTAAATGATCTAAAATGTTGTGATGGGGGTTCGTAAAACATCTACAGATGCTAATTGCTCGAGCTAGGAGGACTTGACGGTTGTCAGGGTCATATTTCAAACTAAATGTAAACTGTAGGGGTAATGGCTAGAGGGTGCCTCACTAGCAGGTGCTACTTTGTTATTGCCTGTCTGTAATTTACGTTGGTCTGTCTTACTTTTCCCTGCACTAAATGATTGTTGTTATGTTGATCTTCTACTTTTCAACTAACTGAGAAAATCCTTCCTTTTAGAGAAGAAAAGCCAGAAACACTACTGCAGATGGCTGGAGGGTACCACGTATAGATCCTGTTTCTGTTCATTTTCTCTGTTGTTTTAGTCTATCTTTCAGGTTTCTGTCGTTTTAGTCTATCTTTCAGGTTTTTGTCCCTGCTTTTAATGACTGTTATACTGTCAATGTCCTTGTCTCTTCTGAAATATTCAAAATAAACTCTATTAGGCAACTGAAGGTGCTAAGATACTTTCACTTGTTTTGTTTGAGTTAAGAGAACTACATAGACACAATAACAGTCATTTAGTGCTGGGGAAAAGTGAGACAGACACACAGAAACAACTGAGGGAAAGAAGAGATGTATGACCAGTGACACTCTTCAGCTGACCGCTGTAGTTCATTTGAATTAATTAGTAATCAGCATAGTTGAATTACAATATCAAAGTGTTATAAAGATGTAATGTTGAAGGTGTTAGTGTATTCTGAACATTTATCTCTTAGGTTTATCTGGTCTGTCGGAGGCCGAGTTAGAGGACATTTTGTCTTGTGATGATGAAGTTCTCGGAGATGTTTACCGATTCTGGACTCCACCGATCAGAAGACTACCTCCACTTCTCCTCGTGAGAATGAAGAGGGACCTGGGACAGTACGTAGGTAAGAAGAAAAGTGAAATATTGCTAAGAGATGTTTTTGGTTTGAAGTAGTGTTCAACATTCTGTCATGTCTTTTTGTTAGTTTGATTGTGTTCGTTTGTGACTGAGAAAAGATTTTTGCTGAGTCTTCACTCTTTTGTGGGTGTGCCTGTGTGTGAATTTGTTAGTGTGTGTGTATGTGTGTGTGTGTGTGTGTGTGTGTGTGTGTGTGTGTGTGTGTGTGTGTGTGTGTGTGTGTGTGTGTGTGTGTGATAGAGAGACAGAGGCAGAGTAATTGATAAATTAATGTAATGTGTTTTATGTGTCCTGATGTGATGATATATGTATCTGTAGGTCAAGAATGCAGTGTCTGGGACACTTTAATCGACATAAAGGCCTTGATCGTCTTGTGCTCATATGAAAAATAGAAGACAAAAAAAGGCATATGGTAGACTAAGAGCAGCCTGCTTCTGAAACCCAAATATATATTTACCTGATTCAGCCCGCAGATAATTTTGATGCCGGATGCAAATAATTTATGACCGCTTTGTGACCTCATGGGTGGTGTCTCAAAAATTAATAAAGAAATATCTAAATTTGATAAAACCCCATTTTAACATAGAGTAATGTTCAGAATAAAAAATACTATTCAATGACACCAGAAAGTAGGATTGAAATGTAAGTGGTAAGGAAAAAATGAAGAGAGGAAAATGATGTGAAGATAGGGAGCGATAGATAAGAGCCATTCTGAGTGGCTCTGCTTCAAAACGCAGAAGACAGTCAGCTGCTGTGAATGGCCTGGCGGGATGAATCAGTGAATTGATACGGACCAGGATAATGCAGGCTTTTTTTTCAGAGCATCCATAGCATCCAACGTGAATGGCAAATTGTGATCACCATTTTCTGCTTCAGATCTTCTTGCACTTCATGATGTTGATGATGAGGTCAAGAATTCATGATAGAAACTTGTGTGTTCTGGATCGATAACAACAACAAACTTGTGTGTGTTTTTTGTAGTGAACCGGGGAGCTGATCGCAAGCAGGTGTTTTACTGGTACCACCGTCAGTTCATTGAGGCGGCTCACGATCGATACTGCAGTGACGTGACCATCGTCAAAGAACTCCATGCAGGGATTGCAGATTTTTTTGCTGGTATCTGGGCAGGAGGTAACTACAAAGTCTTTATTATTTTTCAACTGTTGTATATTTTAATGAATAATAACAAATATTAATAATAATGATGACAGTGATGAAGATCATAATAATAATATTAGTAATGATAATAATGATAATAATAGTGATGATGACAATAATAATTACAATAACAACAATAATGGAAATATTAATAATGATGACTGCATTTATACAGCGCATATTCTTTCTTTATAGCATGCTCTGTGTGTTAACATTTATTATTACCCCAGCAGACCCTAGAATGATCAGAATCATTTTTCGGCTTCCCAGAAAGCATACAAAATGATGTAGAATCTATTGCGGCAGCCTTCCCTATTTTCCTCCCTCATCAGTGATATGTAATTGATATTGTTTACTTTTTTCTTTCAAGATGGCAGGAAAGAAATGAAAGACAGCAAGTTTCTACCAACAAAGTTTAGTTTATCTTTTAGATATTGTAGAAGTTGAAATATATACTTTTATTCCAATTCTTTACAGTCTGTAAATTTAGAGTAATTTCAGTCGCCAGTTCTGTGTGTATTCTGGCTAAAGATATCATAACTCTTAAAATGGAAGCTGTTCAGATTTATTCTGTAAATTGATGAAGAACAGAAATCTTCATTTTTCTCAAATTCAGACAAATAAATAATTTATTTCATTTTGTTGCAAAATCGTTTTTCTTTGTATGTGTGCTACTGGATGGATGGTTGGAGGGTGCTCTGGTATGATTTTTCTCCTCCATTCTTATCAAACATTTATGTCCTTATCTTTTCTTCTTTTTTTGCATTGTTACTCTCTTGTAACACCTCTAATCTTCGGCATTTATGTGGCGTAATGGTGTTGCCAATGCCGTAAAACTCTTACTCACTCAAAAATTATGCTACAGGTGAACTGAAGCCAGTTCCCAATGCCAGGTCGGGTGAGACAATGGCTGACCGCCACGTCACCCCGCAGCCCATCAAGCTGGAGGATGACTCCTTCAACGTCCGTAAACTGACCAAGCAGCCTTACCACCGAATCAAGGCTGGTCAGCTGGAGCTGCTTAAGACAGAGTGCCTTTTGAACTTCGAGTTCATGAGAGCCAAGATTGGAGCCTGCGGTTTAAGGTTTGAAAAATTTTTTCCTTTCTTATTTCCAGCTTGTGAAGACTGCCACCTTCTATGAAGTTACTTTAGACCCAAGTGCTTTTGACTTATAGACGGGTGTACTGGTGAAAAGTTATATTTGTCATTTACGAAAGTCTATTTCATTCTTTGACTTAAGTCAAATGAGAAGTGACTCCTTTGGTGTTCCGGCTGAAGTGTTTTGCCTCTGCTCACTGAAAACATGTGTTTGATTCTTTTGTTGAGAGAGGTTTTTTTTTTATCGAGTGTATCCATCTGTCTTTCAGCAGAGTTTGATCCTGAATGGTTCAGTCAAAGCAGCTAGATCCTCAATGATCTAAAATATTTCGAAAAGGGCGTTTAACATCTACAATTACAATTGGGTTGTTTTTTCAAAATGTAGATTACTTGTGTCATATCACTCACCATAAAAGGGTGTGGTGATGATTACGACGATGATGATGATGATGGTGATGATAATATTAGCAAGGTAGCAAAATAAAAGTATGTCAAAGGAGAAAAAGAGAAAGAAAGAGAGAAGGGAAGAAAGAAAGAAAAAGAGAGAGGGAGGTATCTCATGTTTTTTCTGTTACTTTTTCCGTTTTATGAATAAGTATATAGGTTCTTGCTAATTTTACAGCTGAGCTCTTTGAGTGCTTTCCCTAATCAAAATACACTACTACATAATTGTAGACTTTTCATATGATTCCATTAGTATTTTGGTGGTTGGTGGGTACTCTGGTGTGGTTTGCTCCTTCTTTCCTATCAAACATCTATCATCCTTATCTCTCCTCCTTTTTTGTGTGTTTGTTACTCTCTTGTATCATCTCAGATGTTCAGCACATATATGACCTAATTGTTTTGCAAGTGCCGTGAAACGCTTACGCTTACACTTACTAAAACAAAAAAATTTCCTCTGTTTCTCTCCTAGGGATGTCCTGGACGACTTCCAGATGGCACGATCTGCATTCCCGGATGACAAGGCTTTGGAAGGTGTCGGAGAAGCCCTTCAGTTGTCCCAGAATGCTCTGCTGTATGATGTGAGGACGCTGAACTCTCAAATGCTCGGCAGAATCCGAAACCGTAAAGTGAGTATTTTGAAGTTTTATTGCCTGTTTGAGTTTTTCGCAGGCTGACTGGTTTTGAGTTTGACTACTACTCCAAGTGTGGCTTTGGATCAAGGGTAAAAGTTTCCTAATTATTCAGTAATATTGAGACAAAAACATATGTGAGGCAGCGTGGTGGAATCCGGCTCTCGTCAAAATAATAAAATCGAAGAAAACAGCAGTTTTCTCCCTGCTTAGCAATTTTTATTAAACTTTTGTTTTTTGGCTCAACACCTTTTATGTCCATTTACAAACACATTCCTTTGAGGATTTCACTGAAAATGTTGATTGAAGGCACAAAAATATAAATTTACCAATTTCCATGGACTCTCCAGCTTTGGAATTTACCAAGCTTTGGCAACCATTTTCTCGCTAATTTTACCTCTTAAACCAGGCGACCCCCACCTCCTTCAATCCAAAATATCCCCACTTCTATTGAAGATGGATGGGTAATTTTTTCTTTGAAAACAAGACAAATGAACAAGCTTTAAGATGATACCAACAACTCAATATGCCCAAAAATTGACGAAAGCCTGATTCCACCACGCTGCCTCACATTTGTAATGATATCAACAGAGTCAATAATGTGTGTCGGTCTAGCATTTAATCATGTCAGTTTTATTGTGTTTGAGTACTTAGTCAGTCGGGTGTCATGTTGGACTTGCAAATGAAAGGTTGTGAGTTTGAACCCCAAGGGCCTGATGTTGTGTCACTGAGAAAGGCTAAAATTTTCCCTACTTCCCCTGGTGGGAAGAAGGTGAAAGATCTTTGTCTGTTAGTGTTTGAGTGCTAAATTGACTACTGTATGCTCCCCGAGAAGCCAAGAATATTTTAAAGTGTTTTATGGACTACTGGTGTAATAATGTAGATTCTAAATTGCATAGAGTTTGCTTCTGAGTGGGAATGTGTGCTGTACAAATGCATTTTCCTATTTGCTATTCATTTTATTGCTAATGCTCACTTGCTTGGTTGCTTGGTTAGAGAATAGGTATAATCACAGACGGTACAATGCCATAGCTGGTCCTCCCTCCTCTTCAGGATCCACGAAAAGGTTGGCTTGCTGATTGTGCCAGTCATCAGCTGATTGGATATTCTTCTGGCTTCTCATGCAGGTTGCTGTCTCTCCCCGACCCTCTTGAGACACTGGCTTCCCTCAATCTTTCAGTTGTGTGTGATGTGAAGCTTTTATCTTCTCTGTGGTCGTTAAACCATGCTGAGTGCTGCTTTGACTGTTGGTGGATCTAACTGCATGGTGCTGCCATTATTGTGGTGTAAAGTGCATAGAGCTTGCTGTCGAGCGGGGGTATGCACTATGCAAATGCTATTTATTATTGTTATTATTAAAATGCAAAAATAATCGGATGTCTTTCTGCAGATCCAGAGCATCCCTGAAGTTAGTCATTTCCTGAAGGACTGCCGTGACCCTGGACACATTTACCTGGAGCCAGACTACCCCATCCTGACGGGCACGGGGGGTCAACTGGTGCACTCCATCGGCGAACATACTGATGACGTCACAACTATGGCTGTGGACAAGTCTGGCACTGTCGCTGTCACCTGTGAGAAACCCCTCCTCCCTCTCTCTCT